CTCACCGGCGATGCTGAATATGGCAATCTCAACAAGGTAAACAAAAAAACTGCTTATTTACTGAAGGGCCTAGCGATCCTAAAGTGTAATGATTTCCTAAAGTGCCAAATTGCAGTAGGATCTGGCTATCAATTACACGGACTAGGAGTGTAGCTCCTTCACTAGGACCAACATGAACCCTTGCTACCCTGCAATAAGTACATGATACACATAATGGAATTTGTATTTCAGAATAGTTGCTTACGTATGTTTTCTGTAGAAGTCACTTCTGAACCACTTGAAAGCACTCTCTTTCTGTAGAATTTCAAGCCATCACCTGAGGGATTACGCAATAATGGCGGATGCATGGCATAAAAATTTCCTAGGGCAGCAGCAATAGTCTGAAAACAAATTTTCTCATCCTCCCAGTCAACCTACAAATTAACAGAAGTAAAATCAGACAGTTGAGCAAGATGGGACAGAGGGAGTAACAATTTAGTCTTGTCCTATCTACCAACATTTGTAGATTTGGGATGTCAACAATGCCCCTCAAGTTTGATGAAAATACCAATTTGTTCACCGAAAAAACAAATTTAACAAGACTTTGTGCCAATGTCACATAAAACAACTCTGATCCTCCACACAATCTACATAGAAACCATAAGACCCACAATAATAGGCAATATATATCACCCACCAAGGCAACTGTAATATCACATGCTTAGATTAAATTTCATCAAATCCTAATATTTCCGTATACTACCTATGGATTGGTAATAAAGAAAAATAGCCTTTCATCTTGTTAAGTGGGACTTGGTAGTGAGAGAAAAAAGGAGGACAAATTCAGCAGCCATCTCTTTTTGCATTGCACAGTGGAGGCAACTTGGAATCTGTTTTTCAATATTTTCAACTTCTCTTTTGTCATGCCTTTCAGTTTGAAAGACCTGTTGACTGTTTGGGACAAAAGTGGGATCAGGGAACCAGCAAGAAGTTTGAGGGTTACAGTGTCAGCTTGTATCTGTAGGGTTGTGGACTGAAAGAAATGTTAGGTGGTTTGAAGGGAAAGCTATCTCTGTACAAATGTTAAAAGTACAAATAACTTTGCATTTTTGGTGCAACTTACAGGATGTGAAGGATAAAAACAGTATGTTAGATTTGATCAAGTCACTACAGAAGTCTATTTCCGTATAGAAAGGCGGCCCTCTTTTTATTTTTGCCCAGGGGATTTTCTGATTTGTATGTACAGATCACTTTCTTAGAAGGCGTATGGACATAGATTTGGTTAAAATTTGGACAAAAGAATTTTTGAAGTTGAAAAATGGTTTTTAGAAGTTGAAGTTGTGCAAGTGGAAATAAATTCACTTGAAAATCTAGTCAAAACCAGTTTTTCAAATTTAATTTGAAAAACTCCTTTCCAAAATCTAACCAAAAAGTCAGTCCAATGTATAACCAATTCTTTTTTTATATAAAAAAAATGCAAAAATGGAAAAACTTTCTATGTCAAAACGGCTCTATTAGTTTGGCTGTGTACTATGTACTCAAAGATTCCGGTTCTTTGAGCAATGATGCAAGAAGGTAAATTGTGGTATAAAGTAAATCAACACAAGTATTTTAGCGAGAAAAACTCCCTGCTCAAGAGAGGCAAAACCCACAACCTACATCTGTAGGATTTTCTCAAACGCACCACTAAGCTCAAGCAATTTAAGATTTACGATTGCCCTTGTAACACCCAAGGAACTGTTCTCAACAATCCCAATCTCTACCCCCTTAACTTTTCTCTCCAATGACTCTACCTATCAATGAAGTCCCTTACAAACACAAAACAACACTTACTACAACCAACTATGAAAGTAATCAAGATCTTGTTTTGGTACCACTACAAGAAACTAACTATTACAACTCAAGAACAATATAGATAAAACTTGATAGGAGCATGTTCTTTCGTTGTAGCAACAATTTTTTCTTCAAGACTCTTTGTGCTGACTTTTTCATTATGACACCTCTCCTTTAGGTGTGGTTAAACTCCAATGCTTTGTGTCGTGCTGTTTATATAGAAGTAGATAGCTGCCTTGTAGTTCTCCAATCCAAACAGGAATTGATTCAAGTTTTCCCATAAATCCAATTCTAGTTTAACTTCGTTGTTTGGATCTTCTTCATGCGACGGGCTTCTTCCTCTTAATTCAAAGTTAATACATGTGTTCGATTTATGGTAATATTTCCATATCTTGAACTCCAGCTCCTTGCAGAATTAGACTGCATAATTCCAATTCTCCAAGTCTACATGCAACTACTTTTTCATTGCAGTCTCAATTCTGCTAGAGGAACATGTTCTCTCATGAGTTCCTCTGACAGTGTTGCTAGCTTCTTCACTCGGCTAGCATGTAAAAGATAAAAGTTGCTACATTTGTATGGCTAAGCAAGGTTTGTAAGATTACTTAGACAAGTACAGGGACTAGCATTCCACTCATTGCAACCCATTGGATGGCTAGGTTTGAGAACCTGATCATAAATATGTTTTCTCAAAAGAACATTCTCCCATATGTTCTTCTTTAAAAACATCTCTTCAACTTTCAACGTAAGGACCAAGTTCTTTCATCTTTCTTCTTGCAGCCTTTTTGTAATGTTCCCCGTCTCTAAGTGCTCTTAGTTAGGATTCCTTTTTAAGTAAGAATCAGTTCCTATATTGGTATCTTAATCACTAGCAACAGAATATAATTGTTCTCTAAATAGAACCAGGTTCCTTTATAAATAAGCACCTATTTCTTTACATTTTGGCCCCAACTGTAGCACTTCGAAGAGAACATTTTGTGGCTCTTTATCCAAGTATCACAGAGTTGCCCTTTTTAACATATGAAAATGAGCTGCTACCTTCATTTTTTCCCCCTTTGGGCATCATAAAAATTAAGTAAATGTGTAATTAATAGCATAACCAAGAGGAAATTATCACATTAGAAATTACTAATCCCAAAAGGAATACTTCATTAATGCCAAGTAGGCACATGTATCAACGTCTAAGAACAAAAAATCCAAGAACACCTATACTGATCATGGCAGTCGAGAAGACACTTTCTCAAAACATTACAGTTACCTAAATCTGCCAGTAACTGCTACATTCTAGGGTCCCAAAAAAACATGAACAGCTATCAACTCTAGAAACACACTTTAGACAGGACACAGGAGGGAACTTGAGGCTAAGAATCAGGTTCTTTGCCAGTGAGAGATAAGGATGAAAAGAGGCTCATGAATTTCTCAATCCTCTCAAGTGAAACCTTCTGCTCAGCAAGAAGTGTAACTGTTAGCTTAGCATTCTCAGTCTTTTTGAGTTTGGAAGGCTTCATGCACAGCTTCCGCCTTTTCCTTTGCCTCTCTTTCTTTGACAAGCTCTTCTAGCAGGTTTGTAACCACACTGCTCTTAGAACCTGTTCCCTTCTTTTTTTTTGAAACTGGTAACCTTGTATATTTCTATATGTGAACAAAACACAAGCAGTACATAGGTTGTACTGAGCCCATATATACAGCAAAAAAATAAAAAAACTCTAGGAAACTGAAGCTATTCTAATCTCCTAAGTGGAATCTAGTGCACCTAGAATATCTACAGTTTCTTCTGAGTATGTCTATCTACACCAAAAGCTAAAGAGCAGAATACAGTTCATTTTTATCTGCTAAACAGAGTTGCTCCTATTTTCAAAACATCTGGAATTTCTTTCTTTCCATATTGTCCACCATATACAAGCTGGAACAATTCTCCAAGTTTCTCTGTCTCTAGCCTCCCATCGTGCTTCCTAGCTTGCTAATGTTGTTGAAACACTCTGCAAGTGCGGTTTTACCTATCATTTCCTTTTCCCCTCCCTTTTTCCCAACGCTCGGGGGAATCTCAAAGTGGGTGAATACCTTTATCAGCCAAAAGCCATAGGGTAGGGAATGTGCCCCTTCAGCAGCTAGAGCCACGTGTTGTACCAATAAAGCAGGAAGGTTTACCAGATCTCCTTGGGTGCATCCATCACAATCATGTCCCTGTTTTTAGCTTCATTTCTCTTTTCTACTTGCAGCAGGACACACTTATTTACTAGCTCAATATGATTTTGTGAGCTAGAGTCATCTCCCATTTCAGCACTTACCTCAACTCCTGAGCATCTCTTCCTTGTGGAAACTTGGCTGTCAAATAAACCCTGCTTTTTTCTGGCCCATCTTCGCCCCATTTTTCTTAAAGTATTCATCATAACCAACACAAGATATATTGAAAATGTCCCCTACGTCTTCAACTGTAAATCTGATTCCTCTTCCCTTCACAGAGGACACCACTGTATCATCATCAACTAGCTTGAACCTTCTATAAAATTATGAACTTCTTCCTCATGAACCACTGGATTTGTGTCAAATAGTAGCTTAGTCCATTCATAATGGTCCAGTATTTTCTTGAGCTCTTTGATTCTAGCACTTCTTGTTTTTCTTTTCAGCTGTTTTTTTTAATCCTCTTTAGATTGGGTTCTTTGACCGAAGGAGCAGTTTCTTCCATCCATTCTGAGGGTCCTGTTCTTTTACTGACACCTTTAGAACTTGAAGCTTTCTTCAACCCTTTTTCTTTAGGGGATTCGACTTCATCTTTCCTTTCAACATTTGAGATATCAGAACCATGGTTCTGGGTTTCTTCCTCCTTATTTGTTTGCTTACGAACCAGTTCCCCTTGAGTTGTAACTTCTTCTCTACCCTGAAGTGGTTGATCTTATTTCTTGGGATATTTTAGGGTTTGATTGCATCCTGAGTAAGACTTCGGTGGATTGAGCATCGGATGTAATTTTGGAGTGTGCAACAGTGTTGAGGAAGATATGACTAGGTTTCAAGTTGCTGAGAATTACTTTGCTCTTTTGATTTTTCAAGAATGATGCGACTAAGTGAATATACGAGTGACTAATCTTTTAATAAATAGTCCGGATGACTTTTGAAGTCCCTTTTTTTTAAGTCACTGACTTTCATCGAAGGGGGTTTATTTTAACGGACCAATTTTCGTGGTTATTGATATCATGACCCCCTCTCCCCCCCCCCCCCCCCCCCCCTCCTTTCCCCCCCCCCGCCTATCCCAGCGCCTCCATCTCAACCGCGGCGCCACTCATTTCCTCCGTAAGTACCCCCACATCTTTAACATTTTCCACCACCCTATCAAATTACAACCTTATTGTACACTGACGGAAACCGCCCTCAAAATCACCCAACAAGAGGCTACAGCTATCAATGCTACTTTACCACTTGTAGTAACCCGTTTGGTGCGTTTATTGTCGATTTCAGTGACTAAATCATTGCCCCTTAGAGCCATTTTCAAGGTTTTTAGGGAACTTGGGTTGCCTGATGATTTTGAGGAAAGTGTAATCTTGAAAAAATCTGATCTTTTTGCACTTGTTGATAGTGATAATGAACCGAACACTCATTTGTTGAAACTTGTCGGGGATATACCAAAGGGGGAGTTAGTGGCTGCTGTTGATAATTGGAGGGTAGTGGAATGTTGTAAAGAGGATTGTGGGGTTGATAGGAATGAGATTTTGTTTAGTTTTAAGCATAGTTATCCACCAGGGATGAAGTTGAAGAGGAATTTTAAGGCAAAGGTTAAAGAATGGCAGCAGTTGAGGTATGTGGGGCCGTATGAGGCTGTGGAGATTGGAAAGAAGAGGAAAAATAAGATTGGGATGATGGAGATGGAGAAGAGGGCAGTTGGTCATGACCATGGCGTCCGGGTCAGCTTTCGCGCACCTCATCTAATTACACAGGATACTTGTCACCTCCCACCAACAACAGGTACCAGGTAACTCGGTCCACCAAGGTTAGCACAAATGGGAAGAATAACCTAGTGTTTATTTGTCTCCACAAAGTTTTAAACCTGAGACCTCAGGGTTCTCAACTACTTCATTGACCACTAGGCACACCCTTAGGTGCAACCCCTTCCCCTTTTTTTTAACAAATGACACTAATACACAGATTTAAAGTAATTTGTAGATTTGAAGGAGATGCATACTTGTGAGTCATGAGAACTAGACTCTCTGACAAGATCCTTTGAGTTGATCTTGTTTTGAAGGACAATCCTCCTTTTGACATATGTATTACACTTTCGATGCTTTGAGGTTCCTGAATATTTTCTTCTTTCTTTTTGTTGCAAGAGTCTTCATTTACCTTCGAGAAGGGAAGTTTTGTTACTTTGTTCCCTTTTTGATAAGGCCCCTTTTGCTGAGAGTAAAGTTTCCTTAGTCTAAGCTCCTCTTTTTTCTCATTTGGGCTTTTAATCTTGGTCATAGAGTTGTCTTAGGAACCAAAACTAGTTTGAGTTCCCAATATTTAGACAAAGGATGAATCAAGTGTTTCTTGGTCCATTTTGGCAGTTTTGTTCTTTTCTTTAGAGGGGCAGGTGGCAAAATCTTTGGCATTCTATTGAGCTGTGTATTTTCTAGCAGATCCTTGCATTTTAACCGTCTTTTTCCTTTCTTATGGCTTCTTATATCTGTGTTTGGTAAGTGGAGGTATCTTTTTTATGGTCTTCTCCACTCAACTATTCTGTCCAGTTCATATTCAGCTTTGATGATCTTCTCGTGAATTACTCTACCTTCTTACAGCACACCTTCTGGGAACCTGTTCCTTTAGTTTCAATAAAAAACTTCTTGATATTGACTAGCTCCTTTTGAAGCATTCTTTTCCTCAAAAGCTTCGCATGAAGAGTAGAGGATGTGACATCTGATTCTTCCTTTTGAGTGTGTCTTTTGAAGCATTCTTTCCAGATGCTGATGTTCTTTTGCTCATTCCATTATTTTGAGCTGAATTTTCACCCTCTAGAATAAGGACCTGTTCCTTTAGACAGATTATCTTCCTCTTCACGTTTTCTCCCTTTCCTACTACTGCTATATGGTGATCCCTTTTTAGCCCAGAATGAATGTGTTAATTTGTCTCTATTGGTAGATATAGCTTCTCAAGAAATTCCATTACTATGTGAGTTATACACACTAGATTTCTCTTCTAAGTGTGGATTGTCTCCTTGATTTTAGCTAAGCTTGTCTCCATTTCATGGTCTTCTTCTTCTAGGGCTGATATAACTCTCAATGTTGTGGTCCTTAATTTGTGCAGTTTTCTTTGGTTCTTGGTGGACTAAGTGCCTTCCTTCTCAATGTTGTAGTCCTGAATTTTTGTCTATAGATCTCTATAATTACTTTGCAATGTATACCATATTTGCTCAGTAATGATACAGGAGGAAGCTTTGTTGAATTTATTAGGACTAATACCACATACAAGGATTCTTCTTGTTTTACCATCCAGTTGGGCATTCTTATGCAGGGGTTTTGTTTGGACCTTTTGAATGATGCTCCATAGTTTGGGATTTTCACCAATGAAGAAGTCTTTCATTCTCACCTTCCACCAACTGTAATGTTTGCCAAGAAAGCATGATCCTTTCTTAGTTGATAATAGTTAGTATCTTGGAAAACTACAATCTACTAAGAAAGGATCTTGTTTTGGTACTACTCCAAGAGACTAACTATTACAACTCAAGAACAGTATAGATAAAACTTGATAGGAACAAGTTCTTTCGTTGTAGCAGCAACTTCTTCTTCAAGACTATTTGAGTTGACTCTGTCACTCTGACGTGGTGACGCTTCTCTCTTTAGATGTGGTCAAACTCCAAAGCTGTGTGACGTGCTGTTTATATAGAAGTAAATAGCCGCCTTGTAGTTCTCCAATCCAAACAAGAATCGATTCAAGTCTGTCCATGAAACCAACTTCTTTTTCCTAATTCCAAGCTAATTCCATGTGTTCAATTTATGGTAATATTTCCACATCTTGAACTTCAGTTCCTTGTAGAATTGGACTGAGAGCCTGTTTGGATTTGGCTTATTTAAGTGCTTTTAAGTCAAAATAGCTTTTAAGCACTTTTGTAGTGTTTGAGTATTAAGAAAAAAACTTTTAAGCACCTGTTTTTAAGTCAATGTCCATGGCTATCTCGTCCAACTTCCACTGTGGTATCTGAACTGATGCTGTCAAATAGGAAAGAGAGCGTCGAGCACAGCTTTCGCATCACCAGAAATCCTTTTCTGTTTATTGTGAGACTTGATAAAAATAAGCCAAAAGCTACAAGTCTATCCAAACAGACTCTGAGTCATAATTCAATTCTCCAAGTCTTCACGAAACTTCTTCATTGCAGTCTCAGTTCTGCTAGAGGAACAGGTTCTCTGATAAGTTTCATTTGTAGTATTGCTTAACTTCTTCACTTCTTCTTGGAGATTTGTTGAGGGCCTGATTCTTGATCTTCATTCTTCACACAGATTGTCAATCATCAAAACACCACATGATCTTGAATGTAGATTCAGAGATCATAATGTTTTAGTGCTTTGCTTCAATAATATACTTGCTTACCAGTTCAAAAATATCAGAAGAAATTTTAACTTAAAATTTTCGCCTACAGCTATCAGGAAAATTTGAGAGGTGATTCCACCAGAAGAAAGAAGAGGACTTCAAATGTCATATGCTAATGAACAGACAACACAATGAGACAAAAAACTGTTGCTTTTAAATATATTTCTCCAGCCAATGGAAATCCAAGTTGATCCACTGAAACATGATAGATTCATTCAGAGGCAAACAATACAAAACTAATGTAGCATAACTTCCTTTGAGAAAGGCAAGTAGAAGAGAGCAAAAAGACGGGGAAAACAGAGGCTGGAAATTGTAGCTACTATATATTAAACCTTGGAAAGCACAAAAGTCAGAACGTAAATTGAGACCACTCATTGAAAGAAGAAAAAGAATGTACATAGGAAATCTAGTACCAAAGTAATCAATGTTAAAGGCTCAATATATTAATTTAGGATGATACTTGGCAATGAAAATGAGTTTACAGGCTGATAACTTCCAACATACTAAGCAGATCAAGCTGCTTCATATGTGGTCGATGAACTTCATTGTGCAACACCCAAAGGTCCACAGTCATGGGCAAGAACATTATAGAATTGATAAGATCTTTGTTACATGGAATAGGAAAGAAGACAAAGAAATAGCAAAGAACTCACATCATTTCCTAAACAAAGTATAAATTCTGGGATGCGGTCCATGTCAGGTGTGTACTGATCCAGTATAACAGGAAGCCTAGACATATTGCCATTTGAATCGATATGAATACTAAAATACTCCTCTAGCATTCCAGCCTTTTGCTTGAGCAGTTCTGTATTCATCTGAAGTAATACATAGAAAATGCCAATGCTGATTAGGAAGAGGGTATAATGATGATAGGTGACAAAATTACCTGAATTGAATTAGACAAAAGTAACAATTTCTTTCAGTGTCTAGGAGCAGACATGGACAAGAAATAGAATTAAATTACTGTAGTGAAGTTACAGTTGAGTTAAGATGAAATTACCTCAGCAATCTTTCCTCTTAGCTCTTTGCTTTCATTGCCTTCTGGATCTGTACCCTCTTCTTTCAGAGCAAGCATTACTAACTCAGGTAATGATGCTGGTTCACTCAGTTGAATTGCATTGAAATGGGCAAACCGACGTAAAACTTGCTGATACATAAGCTCTTTACTTTTGTAGCATCAAATGTAGGGAAGATCATCAAATACATAGTTAAACAAGTTATCTAATGAAGGAAAATTCAAGGAATTAAAAGAGCCATGGAAAAATTACACAGCATCAGAAAAGGCAGAAATCAAAGCGAGAGATCAAGCTGTAGAGATATTGGAATCTTCGCTGTCAAGTGCTCTAGCAGGTTTTCTTTTTTGTTATTTCTTTTCTTTTTAATAACCGAGAAATCTTTTGAGAGATAGTGGCGCAGGATTCGAAACTCGGTGGATAATAGGTCAGGACCTCTACCCTTAACCACTTAATACCAGGTTTTTGATTGTGGCAAGGTTCGAACTTGTAACATTCACCTAGTTAAGATTGCTTTCCCTCTCTTGGGTTTCTTAAGAATTGTGAGAATAGGATTGTATATAATGTATGGTAACATACAAAACAACTTTCCAATTAAGGAGGTGGCTACAGTCATATGCAAAATAATTACCCAACAAGAGTCAGGGTCAAATCCCACGTGGATTGGAGGTAGGATTTGCCAAAGTTCGTGACTCAACTCACAAGAGCATGCATATTGTATCAACAATGAATGTAAATGGGGGGGGGGATTGTTTATAACAAGTAATCGATTTGAAACTTCTATTGCAAAATGTAGCACAAATGTCAAAGTTGGAGAGACTAGGGGTGTTGATTTGATAGATATTGACTAATTATCTTAGAATGGATTACCACATCTTTGGTTTGAACTACATGCAAAGTTTTTCAAAGCAATGTGTTTGTTTTGGTTCTTTCAAACCCCAAAACTATACCATATCAACAACCAAGCATTAGCTTGAGTGGGCATAGACTATCTCTAGCTCAAACCCTTAAATGAGGATCAAATCAAATTAAAACTATTTCTAGCTCTAATCCTTTGATTAAAACCTCAAGTCCTCCCCATTGAAGTTTTACCCAATCTCACTTTTCTTTCTCAAGAAAAAGTAAAATTAGAGAGTTCAATTAATGTTTGCACCCATTACTTTTTAGATTAAAACTTGAAGACAACAATAGATTTATGCGGTATAATCAATTCTAAGTGTTGGAACAAGTATAGGAATCCTAGTTGGAAAAGGAGTCTAATGTAGTGTCTATGAATAGGGTCTTTATGTAACAATTTAGATAAACAATTCAATAATATTCTCTTCTATATTTCTCACCTGGTATCAGAGCATTGGTGAGAAACTTCAAGTCACCATGTCAAATTCCGGCGACAGTTAGGGCTGATTTGTGTCATCTTGTCGTTCTGAAGGTGTTGTGCGAAAACCAACACCATCACAAGGCTCGGGAAGCTCAGGCGACCAAACCCCAATCAAAACTACCAAAAAAAAACCCTCACACGCTATCCCGCTGTTCGAAGGTGGAAGTTTTCCGGCGAGATCTGGATCACGCGCCGGCACGTGAGGGTTGCTCCGGTCATTGTTTTCAAGCTGTTTTTTTGTTGGGGTCGTCCAATATTTCCGATCAAAACCCGTCTAGTTTTCTCCAAATCCGATCGCTGGAATTAGGGTTCCAGCAATTTTCAGGCAGTTTCCAACAGTTTCTTACAATTTTCAAGTCAAATTTTGAAAAAATGTTTTTGGCTCCAAAAATACGGGGATTGGAAGTTCAAGCCCTATAATAACTTCAGAACTATTAATGGGAAGTTCAAACTATTTAGCTTGGGCTTCCTCAGTTGAGTTGTGGTACAAGGGTCAAGGTGTTCAAGATCATTTACCAAACAATACTTCTGTGGTAAATGAAAAGACAAAGCCTAGTGATGAGGATGCAAAAGCCAAAGCACAATGGGAGAAAGTGGATGCTCAATTATGTAGTCTCCTATGGCGCTCTATTGATTCAAAGTTGATGCCCTTGTTTCGCCCATTCCAGACATGTTATTCAGTTTGGGAAAAGCACGTGCTTTATACACTAATGACATATCTCGATTCTATGATGTGATATCTCGGATGACCAACTTAAAGAAACAAGAATCTAACATATCTACTTACTTGGGACAAGTACAGGCAGTCATGGAGGAATTTGCATTGTCCACCACCCAACTATGATCCTATTGCTCTAATGGAATATAATGAGTTCCTTCAGAATTGCGCAAGCAAGCAGACATCTCCACAAGTACAATCAGTTGTTGTAACACCTTAGAATTTGGAAAAGAAAGAAAAGGGATTTTTGGGCTGCAAGTTGTGTTTACGGGTCCCCATCTACAGATCGTAGAAGCTTCTACAGGCTGTAGATGGCATCCGAAGAAGAGGGAAAATGATATTTGAAAAGTCAAGTCCCAGTACCTCTTTTTACAATTTACGAGGACGGCCCGTTAGTCTTTGTATGAGCCGTAGATAGGCTCATAGGTAGGTCCCATACTTAGTGATATTTTACAAGGTCAAGTTGGTTTCTTTGATTGGTGTCTACGGACCGTAGGTCCAAACGGTAGACGGGCTTCGACAATTATTTTAAGGGGCATTTGAGTCGTTTTCTTGATTGTTTTAAATCAAAATTATGTCGTTTTGTCTTCTACCCTAAGCCCTATATAAAGCTTTTAGGTCCTAAAACTACCCACTTCAACCCATTCTCCTAATTTCCCAAAACCTAGCCAAATTCATCCTCCCCAAATTCTCTCAAGACTAATGAAGGAGAAGAAGCTAGGG